CATGACAGATTTTTTTGGAAGAGAAATTTAGCTGGCTACAATCTCTATTGTGGAAGATAGCTTTATTTTATTAAAATTCTGATATAAAAACTTTTAGTGAAACATGTTATGTTACAACCAACTAGCTTTAATTCTGTTTAAATAGGCAAATTTGCATAAAAGACACATGTCCTTTAAGATTGCAATTTTTTGAAACTTGGTATGTGAAAGTCAAGCAAACCTACCCTTAGGTACTAGATCTTTGAATATATAAAAATTCAGCTGTCTTGGGATTCTCATTGTAACTGCAGTGATTCGGCACAAAGAGAATTTCACCTGGCTCCAGATGCATATGGAAGGAGGGAAGCCAACAGCATGGATCAGGGAAATGCAAGAAGGCCAGGCAGGGGAACACCCTCCCCACATTTTCTTCTGCCATTTGCAAAAGGAAGGAAACCAGAAATCAGAGGGCACTGAAAAATGAATTCGACTCTTCTCTGTGACTAGCTGGAAAGCCTGAAGCTAAGAAAAAAACAATCAAATTTATAAAGGACAAATAATCCCATCCTGAAGACTGAATGAATGGCCTCAGGCTTGAATTTAGGAGAAGGAGTGAGGAAACGAAAGGTGAGAGTTAGTGAAAAAACATAGATCTGTGCCGTCAAAATTATCAAGAAAAGTTATTTATATATCTTTTTGCATGTGAATAATGTAAATTTAAATATTTCAATCAAGTCTTATTTTTATTATTAAAAGACAATCGTGCTTTCCTCTCTATCCAAAACCCACCTGTAGCCTAAGCCTCAACACTCTGGGCTGTGTTGTTCTCCTGCCACCTGGTGGATCACACACCCCAGCGACCGTGGAGGGGTTGCTAAGTCCTGTTGACGGTGGAACTGCAAAAGCACCAGGACTGAAGGGTCGTCCAGTTCAGAAACTGACTGTCTTGTTACTATGAATAAGATTTTGATGATATTAGAAATTAATTGATTGATTAATTTCCCATAAATGATCTGATGACAAAGAGGAAGAGAGGAAGAGAGGAAGAGTTGGGAGGTTGGCAGTGCCACTTCCAGGGATGCTGTGCCAATTTATATGGTGATGGGGTGGGACACTGATTGCCTTATCTGCCAGAGGTTGCTTTCCAGTGAATGTGACAAGTCATTTACTATGTCTTGCCATCATATAAGAATCCTTAGAAAAGAATTAAACTAGCACCTCAAGAAAAATCTGATCTTTATAGCAATAATGTTTATTCTCTGCATTGTGAAATTTGATCTTAATTGGAATTAATCCAAAGGGATTGCTAATGGGCTTTGGAGTAAGCCAGATTTGCATGAGGACTCCGGCTCCACTGTATACTAGCGATGAGACGTTGGGCAGGTGACACTCTCTGGGGGCTTTTACTTAAAATGAGGATGAGAATGCTTTGCTTGCAAGGTTGTTGAGCAGGTAAAGGTGTATGAAAGCCAATCAATAAATGATGGCAATGACTACTACTATCATTACTTTAAAAATACTGAAAGCAGCTAATTATACGTCGGTATCCTCTAAGAGCTGGATTATCCCAAGGCTCCAGGGACATAAGCATGGAAACTGAGCCATCAACACAGACCATCTTGCTCTAGGTTTAAGAACTCCTTTGCCAAGTTCTAAAACTCTGCCTCTCCTAAATTCTGACTGATGCAGTAAAACCACAGCACAATGTGTTGGGCATAAACTGCTTCTAGTGTTTTGAGTTTTACAAATTTATATATGATGGAATGAGATATCCATCATCTACACGGGTTCTATTGTTCCCAGAAGGGGTAGATAAATCTCAAGGCATATTATATTTCTGCCTGGATGACCTTTGAAGATGCGTATCTGCTTGAAAAAGGAGAATAATCCCTCTTCACTGAAGAACATCCAGGTTTCTATTTCAAATACATAGTTAGTGAAAAATGCCTATGGATACTTTGTTTTTGCCTTGTAGGCCATCTTCACTTTCTCTGGGCTTGACTTCCTAATAACCTAACAGAAATCATCAGCCACAGTTTGCGGCATGTCTGAAAGAGCCTTTCCTTTGTCTGAAGTCCACATGAAATTATTTTCTCCATGTTTGTTTTCCAGGGACATGCCCATGTCCTTCCTAAGCTTAGCAGAAAACAGACAGCAGCAGCTGTAAACATTGGTGCTGTGATTAATGGTCTTACGGAACAATACTTCTCAGTAACTCCTGCTGTTTGTTTAAGTTTGCCTGGGAAAATTAGGATGCCTCAACTTAAATATTCCCAAGCGCCTACATCGCCAGCAGCACCATTCCACTTCTACGAACTTCCTGAGCACCTAATGTTCTGAAGATGTGATGACGGAAACCAGCAACCACTAGGCCAGGGGGAAGTGCGAGGGTGGACAGGGGTGGAGGGAGAAGGAAGAGGAAGGGGAGAAACAAAGAATAAAAATGAAGACCACACAAAGCCATCTCCGCTGGCCTTCCCTAGCTCTGCAGCTGTTTTCTGTCTGTCTGACTCGACACACGGCTTCGCTGAACTTTAGCCAGTGTCTCCCTGCCCTTGGATTGCAAAGGTGAGGCTACTGGAAATTACCTGAACGCCACGCAGGTGATGGCTACCCAACACTGAAAAGTAAAGCCACACTTGCCCTCATGTCTTGCCTTCAACACAAGCTGTTGGGTCCTAGATCACGCGTTTCCGAGACACCGGATGAGCTTAGTGCAATCTGAGGTTGTGAAACAGCATAAAGGGCTGGGTGGGCCAATCATAAGTGGGCGCTGAGACCTCACTCCTGTGGGCACACCTAAGCTCGGAACAGACCATAAACATGAACGCACACGCCACTGACGCCCCCCTCCGGGCTGTGGGGTGGAGCGCAGCTCTAGTGTCCCTTGCCGAGACGGACCCACCCACACGACCCCTGTCCCAGGGCGCCGCTGAACTTGTGATCAGAGTAGCTTACCTCCATCCCCTAGATATGTTCTGGGTTTCTGATGACATGTGGTAGAATGAGAGAGGCTCCCCTTGTATTGGTGTGGCCATGACCAGGAACCCCTTGGTGTCCTAGGCCACCCCTCATGCCTGAGCTGATTACAAAGCACAGGGGAGAACCTCGAGGGTGCACCTCAGGAAGCAGAGCAGCAGGTGGGCAGAGTTGCTCTAGGAAGGGGGCTTCACACATGGGCAAGACCCTTAGTGGAGTTGCCCACGGGGTCACAGAAGTCCCAGCACTGCCAGGACCTCCCGCTGTCAGCAGCCAAGATGTCCTGTTCCCTGCCCCAAGTGTTAAACAACTCGTCACTGATCTCCCCTTCACTGTGTTCTGTAGATTTCTAATTAAAAAATAAATGAAAGAACAATCTTACCCATGAGGAATTTTGCTCAGGACATAATATCCAGTATAGGAGTGTTGATATATCTGAAACAGACCAAAAAAAGAACAAGCATTGAGACAAAGGCTGTGACTATGATGTTTTTCAAATCACTGTGAATCCCGACAAACATCAGTGAACCAAAAGCAGCTAATCTGGACACCTGGAGGCCAAGTCTTATTTACTTAGGAAGTCATTTGCATATCCTGCTTATTTTATTTTTAGCATTTACAATGGTTTATAGGGCAGCCAGAGGCTCGATGTCATCTCCACGGCTACCTGGTTTGTGATTAAATTAGGGGCACAGGTTTCCAGCTTCACTAAATATAGCACAGCACTAATGAGGACACCTTGGTCACTGGAGACTGTCAGAGACAGTCGGCTGGCCCCCACAGGCCAGTAAGACCTTGTACTGCTGGAGTTCCCTGCAAATTGTGGCAAGGGGCCCACAAGAAATCCCATTGTGTATCTTCAGTGGGTTGTGATACTGAAGCCAGTCTAGGCTTCACTGGGCAAACTCTTGAGCTTCTGACAATCTGACGTGCATCTTTTAGTTTCCGAGAGAGGAGTCGACAAGAAGTCACTGTAAGAGGGCAGTTAGGAGTAGTGTGGCTTTCAAAAGGGAAGTAAGAAAAAACCCAAAACAGTGTTTCAAAACTCCCGTAATCCCCAAACCTCGGATGTCTCTCTTAAACTCTTAAGCTAGAAGATTACTCCCCAATCCATAAATGTAATGACCAGAATTTGGGGGACACGGAAAGAGGGAGAAGATGGCAGTTCAAAACACGTCAGCATTGTTCATCTCCAGCCTCCCAGTACGTGGAACATGGCGGGTTCCTCGGTAGGGCTGAAGTGAGATCCGTACTTCCTGTCCCTTTGCTCTACCTGCAACTTCTGGGAATTGGCGCCCTGTGTGGCTAAATGTTCCATGACCGGCATTTAAAACCATCTTTCTAAAGGTAACAGGGGAGAGACCCGAGGCAAAGGAAGACACAGCAAACGCAGAGCACGTGGAATGGGGAGGTGTGGTGGGGGGACTGACGCTGGAACGGAGCCTGCAAAGGGAGACAGTGGGTTCCACGGACACCGCTGCTTCCCTGCCTGTCTGGACCACTGGATGAACTCCTAGAAAATCACAATGGACTTAGAGTTATTTGGAGAAAAATAACCCAGATACAAAAATAAACAACAGCACTTAGATCCCAACAATCTGGTGCTTCCAGAGAACTTGAGACTCCTGCACCAGTAGTTTGGGGCCCCGGGCGACCTGCTTTGAAGGCAGTTTAGGCAAATGCTACTTTAGCAATAAGGAAATAGCCACCAAGGGACAGGCTTGTGCAGGAGAGCTTCACGGAGCTCGCGTGCCAGTGCAGCAAGAAACACGTGAACCTACCGCAGGTTGCCGTTTCTGGAGTGATGAGTGGGGCTGCTTCCCTAAGGGAAGAAAGGAAGGGCCTGGGACCAGCTCCTGTGTCTCGAGTAGGTCACTGCTCAGAGAGCACCCAGCAAAGGACTCTGTGCAGTGACTGAACAATGCTCACGCGGGCTGGGCCAGCTTCCTCAGATGCAAGTGCACAAGTGGACGGATCCAAACCTTTTCTCCATAGTTGGGGTATATGGTGCTACTGTACGTGTTTCTGAATTCCTCTTCCAGAGCCAACTTTTCATATTATTTATTCAGCTTTATTTTCATAGCAACTCAAGGCAGGAGGCAAAAGCTTATCTTCTTTAAAAAACAATTTTTACTTCAAAATATTAGGGGGTACAAATGTTCTTGTTTCATGGATGGACTGCATAATGCTGAAGTCAGGGCTCTTAGTGTGCCCATCACCAGAATAGTGTACACTGTACCCAACAGGTAACTTTTTATCCCTCACTCCTACTTGGTTTCCAATGTCTTTTATGTCTCTTTGTGTCCATGTGTACCCATCACTTAGCTCCACTTATTAGTGAGAACACGTGGTGTTTGTTTTTCCATTCCTAAGATACTTCACTGAGGATAATGCTCTCCAATTCCAAGTTGAAAATCTCACCTTGGTTAAGACAAGAAATTGAGGTTCAGCAGGAGCAGAGGCAGATGGAAGAAAGAGACAGGGGAGGGTGGGTGGAGGGAAGAGGAAGGAGGGAGAGAAGGGTAGAGGTGGAGCCCAATTCTGTACCCTTGAGTGCTGGCTGGAGCTAGTGACTCTAACGAACAGGACGTGGCAGACACGACGGTGTTGGACTTCCGAGACCAGGTTATAAAAGGCATCGTGGCTTCCTTGTTGCTTCAATATCACTTGCGCGGAGGAAGCCGGCTGCCATGCTGTGAGGACACTCAAGCAGCCAAGGCTCCTCCCCGTTTGACTACCAGAATTGAGCAAGGGACCAAGAATTCTCTCCGACAGCCACGTGAGTGGATGTGGAAATGGATCCTGCGTCCCAAGTCAAGCTCTCAGGGGACTGCAGCCCTGGCTGACCCTTGATGGCAGCCTCATGGGGGACCCTGAGTCAGAGCCACTCAGCTAAGATGTCCTGAGTTCCTGACCCACAGTAACCGTGAGATAATAAATGTTGGTTGTCTTAAGCCACTGAGTTTTAGAGTAATTCCTTACACAGCAGTAGGTAAAGAATATAGCTCATTTAAATCCAGAGAAAACAGGTGATTATTAAATCAGATATAAACTTATTCTGAGATGCTGGGTTTCCTCCCTATAAACTTCCAGAAACTTCTAAAGCAAACAAATTCCTTATCAAAACAGTGTCAGGACAGAGAGGTGAGGGGCTGGGAGAGACCACTCACTGACCAGAATGCTCAGAGCAAGACTTCGATGTCACTGTGGCAAACGGTCCCAAGCCCTGGGGACAGTGACCGTGGCTGGTGTTTGTGGCGCACATACTACGTATCAGGTACTCTGCCGGCTCCTGAGCAAACATGGATCGTGCACTCTTTATGAGTCAGATACTGTTACCTCGTTTTTACAGGTAGGAAAATTGAATCTTAAGGAATTTATAAGTAAACCCAAGTGAGATTTGATCTGAGGTCTGTCTCTCTAAACACTCCCTTGGAAATTGCCTGCACCAAGGGTATAACTCTCAACTCGCAAGTTACAAGTCCAAGTTGAACTGCTGTCAACTGAAGAATCCAGAAGAGGAACAGATATAATGAGTATGCAAAGTAAGAATACGCAATCGTTCTTGGTTGAAGGCCTATTCCTTTATTCCACCTGCACACAGTGAAGGAAATCTATTCCCAGTTATGGCATCCCCCACACAAACACCCAGACTTGTATCTCTGCAGTACTCTTTTCTTTTTTTTTTTGAGACAGAGTCTCACTCTGTTGCCTGGGCTAGAGTGCCGAGGCATCAGCCTAGCTCACAGTAACCTCAAACTCCTGGGCTCAAGAGATCCTCCTGCCTCAGCCTCCTGAGTAGCTGGGACTACAGGCATGCGCCACCATGCCCGGCTAATTTTTTCTATATAGTTTTAGTTGTCCAATTACTTTCTTTCTAATTTTAGTAGAGACAGGGTCTCGCTCTTGCTCAGGCTGGTCTCGAACTCCTGACCTTGAGCGATCCACCCACCTTGGCCTCCCAGAGTGCTAGGATTACAGGCGTGAGCCACCGCGCCCGGCCTCTGCAGTACTCTTTAAATACACCACTATATGATCCTGGAATTCAGCCCTGTGACTCCCTTCTCAGTGGCACCCGTGAGAAAAGGGAAGCCCAGTGTAAAATAACCCTATCCAGGCCACGGCAAGAAGAAGAAGATGAGGGAACTACCCATTTCAAATTCTATGTCTGTGTTGTTAGGCCAAAAAAAAAAAAAAAAAAAAGCACGTGTGCATGGGAAACTTAATAAAGTATCTAGATGAATCGCCAATTAGAAAGACTCAAAGAAAAAAGTGAGTGAGTCTGAAAGGAAAGACAGAGGAAACTTGGGAAGCTGGTCGGTAGAGTGAGAGTGTGACGGTAGCTCTCCACAGCGTGCTGTCGATGCAACGGAAACCTTGAACAGGAGCCTGCAAGGGGGCCCACGTGCTGCTCACAGAAATGGGGAAGGGGACGAAGACGAAACAATTCTCCTGCTCCAGGATGAAACAATAAAACATCATTGTCTTCCACAACTTTTTCCCTCAACACCAAGCCAAAAGAGCCACGGCACAGAGGAAGCAACTGTTTAGAGAGCACAAATTCGGGGAGTTTTCATTTGCACAATGTCTTATCTCATCTGGACAGGCATTAAAAAAATTGCATCTCACTGAAAGAATTTGTTCCTTAGAGATAAAGTCTTTCTCCTTTTTTTGTGGTTACTGTTGTATTTATGTTTCTTTCTTTAAAATAGACTCCAAGTATTTCTGTCATGGAACAACTACCCCAAAGACCATTATTAATAAGATGAGAAAATAATTTCAGCAAATTATTTTTTCATAGATCACACACAAAATAGTTGACATTGGCATTGAATAATTATTTTAAAAGCCAAAGGTCTGTCACAGGGTAGGCTCGTATTTGGTCGGCTTCTCATGTCTGAGATTTCCCTTTGCTCAGAGCTCCTTTTCCAACCCCTCCCGCCGACCCACGCTTCACATCCTCCATGGCCTTTCCTCTCTCAGCACCATGATGGGCACTGAGCTCTTTCTAGGCCACCCATCTACTTCCTTTGCATCCTCTTCCTCTATGAAATCATCTGTTCTTGAGGGTTTTTGTTTTTTTAAAATATTAAGGTACAGATGTTTTTATTACCTGGATACCTTGTATAATGCTTAAGTCAGGGCTTCTGGTGTGCTCGTCACCGGAATAGTGTTCATTGTACACAAGAGGTAAGTTTTTAACCCTGATCCCGCTCCCACCATCCCTACTTCCTGGTTTCCAATGGCCTTTACATCTCTTTGTGCCCATGCGTACCCATCATTTAGCTCCCACTTATTAGTGAGAACATATGGTGTTTGGTTGTCCATTTCTGAGATACTTCACTTAGGATAATGGTCTACAATTCCATCCAAGTTGTTGAAAAAGATATTATTTCATTCCTTTTTATGGCTGAGTAGTACTCCATGGTGTGTAT